TAGGGTTTAGGGATTAGGGTTGGTTTAGGGTTTAGGGTTTAATATACCTTGAATTATACGGGAACCTTAGTATGATTTCAGGCACACTACTTAGTCCAGGGGTTTGGAAATCTTTGGTGGCAACCCGTACACCACCCCAGAGCCTAAACAATCCTAAGCTGAAAAAGCCCTAAATACCCCAAAAGCCCTAAAGATCATTCACCCGACGTTAACCCTAATAATCCCTCGCCCTCAAAACCCTAGACCCAGAGATCCCAAGATCCCTGAATTAAGCGATATACCTTGAATCATAATTATTAAGGGCTTCTATAATTTAGGGTATACACCCTCATTAAGGGGTATTGGGATTTTGGGTGACCTTCAACTAGGAGGTGTTGGAGCCCGTGGGTTCAGGTCCTACAAAACACGTGCGAAAGCTTACAGAACGCTGCTAGAACCCTCTAAAGCAGATCCCATACGACTCGCTGTAAAGCAAAAACCCTTGTTACGAAAAAGGGACCTTCATGATCCCATGTAACTCCCTGTAAAGCAAAAACCCTATGTTTTTGTTGAAAAAGTACCTTAATGATCACCCTAAACATCCCTAAACCTTAAACCCTCAAAAATCCCCTACACCCCAAAACGCGAAACCCTAAACCCGAAGCCTTAATGATCAGGTGGGCCGCTGACTCAGCAGACCCTCGAGTCCTTCAGGCCGCGGGAGATAAACTTCAGGGTTTAGGGTTTAGGGGTTTAGGGTTTAGGATATATGCTTAGTTCTCCAATACCCAACCTTTAAACTTTTTTGGGTTCTCATAATTTAGTAGTAATCTGAAAGTTTAGCCTTTTATTTCCCTGGCTTGTTGGAGAAGTAAGTATGAGGGGTCCTTATTGTACTTGGAGCAGACCCTTTAAAGGAACCCTAAGCCCTAAGCCCTCAGAGGAACCCGTAAAGGAACCCTAGAACCCCTTACAGGAACCCCAAGCCCTAAGCCCTTACAAGGTTACTATAAGGGTGGTTGTCAAAATTATGGTCCCTTTTTGGGTCCTTATTATAATACGGCACCTATTATTTAGGGTACCCCAAAATGGACCATAATTTTGACAACTACCCATAAGGGGATCTATAAGAATCTCAGGAGCTCCTTTGAGGGGTTACTCTGACGGTTCTAGAAGAAGCAGCTGTTTTTTTAAGGGTTACTACAAGGGTTCTGTAGTAAGGCTGCCTTGGAGGGTAATATGATCGCTACAGGGGATCTATAAGGATTTTCTTTGGTGTTGAGGCCTTGTTGACAAATTGGCGTCTCTTTAGAGCGTACTCAAAGTTTAGCTTGTTATTGCCGTGTCTGTATACATGTACAAATACATACATATATATATATATATACAAAGAGATACATATATCCATGTATCTGTACCTGTGTAAATATTCAAATGTATATATAGCATAAAAGTATATTTTGTGTGTGCATGCGTGTATATATAAAAGCCCAAGGGTAAATTGTGTAGTGATGCGCAGCCCAGCTTAGAAGGATTTAGAATCTATGAGGTTTACGACTCAGGGAGTTAGGCCGGGGGTTTGAAGCACAACTTTGCAATGCAGGCCCGTGATTCACATCATCAACTCCCCTGTCTTTCTGCACATGAATAGAACCCCTGTTTCAATCTTTGCTGAAGGTTGCGGAGTATTCACCAAGGATCTTACATTGCCTGCAGGACAACAAACCTATGCCCTCGGGCTAGGTCAAGGAAACTAGCACACAGGTTACGGATACGGGGAATAAGAACTGGCTGATGAATACACCGAGCCTCCATCCCGCGTGAACTTGAAACAAAAAGCTGTAAAACCCCATATCCAAGGCTCTGAACCCCAAGCCCAGCCTAAACCCTAAACCCTAAAGAAGCATCAAAATCCAAAGCACGAACACTGCCACGCTCCGATTCAGCCAGGCTGTCCACAGGGCCGAGAGGCTTGGTTTGGGATGTCGGGTTTAGGGTTTAGGGCTTGGGGTTAACATAAGGGCCATAATAATTAGAATAGGGTTTTGGGGAAGTGTGTTATGCCATAGTCCCTAAACTAGTGTTGGTACTTATTTAGGCCCCTATCTTACAGGTTTTAGGGCGGAGGATGGTTCAGAGAGGCGTGTCGTAGGCTATGCCTTCGAAGGTCAGCAAGTTGGTGATGCGAAAGTTCGGAGGTTTCAATAGAAGTGAGAAGTTTTCCTGGTTTGGGTGCGGGAGCGAGGCGTGGAGTTTGACTGTCTTTCATGTTGGCATCACATAGTTTCTACAATACCATACCTATGGGGGAAAGAGACTTTGGGTGCCACATGCGTCTGGGGACCGATCAGATCGAAATTCTCGCTGAGAGTTCTTGAGAGAAGTCAACTCAAAAACTGCACTTCTGGCTCAAGGGGTGTTGCTGGGGTCAGACATTGCCTAAACCCTAAACCCTAAACCCAACCCTTAAACCCTAAACCCTTTCTGGATATCATATAACCGAGCGGGAGAGAGAGGTACATATATATATATATATAGTTATGTTATTATAATATATATATATATATATATATATACACGTGTATATACACACCCACATGCTTGCATATAAGTGGAAATACATCTTACACACGCATGTCTATGTGCGAAGCAGGTGCTCCGCTTAGAGGTTCAGGGGACTTAGGTAACCGTAGTTGTGTTTGCATAAAACCTTAATTTAAACTACTTATGACCCTACTTACTCAGTCCCCTGAACC